GCGAGGTGTCTTGAGTTCGGTTTGGAGTGTTCCGAGCTGCCATGGGCCAGCTCGGGTCAGCTTTGTGAGGCTTGGGGCCCAGTATAGTTTGTGCTCCTTGCAGGGAGCTCGGGTCTCAGTAGGGAGCTCGCTCTTAATAGGGAGCTCGGACTCCCAGTAGGGAGCTTGCTCTTAATATGGAGCTCGGACTTTAGGGAGCTCGAGCTCTTACTTAGGGAGCTCGGACCCTTAACAGGGAGCTCGCTCTTAACAGGGAGTTCGGGCTCCTAGTAGGGAGCTCGGACTTAGGGAGCTCGGGTTCTTACTTAGGGAGCTCGGACCCTTAATAGGGAGCTCGCTCTTAACAGGGAGCTCGGACTCAGTACAACGGTCTGGAGTTTGGGCTCGGTAGTGAGCTTGGATTTGCTTCCGATGTTCGATTCGGGCGCTCTACTGTCCCGAGCTGCTTGCCTTTGCCACGTGTCGGGCGATCGCGAGGTCGGGCCAAATTTCCCTTCATCAGCTCCCCTGTGCACTCTTAAATAAGCCTCAAATGACGACTAAATTCATGCCAAATGTAACCCAAATGAAGTTTCTGGGCTTTTACGAATTTTTCGAATGTTACTATTGAATGGACGTGGAACGAATGGGAATGGGGTGCAGCCGACCGTCAATCTAGCCTTATCATTTGAAGAAATGGACAAGACTACAGAGAAGATAATATTTCCTCCGTCCTATCATTTCGGAGAGTTGGGAAAGAGAAAGAACGAGAGAGGAGGGTGAAGGAGGGAAAAAAGAGAAGAAAGGGAAAATATAAGATTAAATAGGTTTTAAAAGAAAAAGAACAAAATAAAAAAAGTTTTATAGGATATTTTAATAATTTAACGCATTTCATCATCCGACTTAACGGTTAAGTGGTCTTTTGTCTCACGGTCATAGCGGAAGGATGTCTTTATCACAGACCCCCGTATTATCCTATTTTTTAAGTTCATTTTGTGTGCGGTTCGTCACTTTTAATAGCCATGTGAAACGTTAACTTTAAGTTCTTTTCGCCTAACAGACGTGGTCGAATCTCATTGGAGGGTGCATTGGCACTCGTGCAGTGCACCCACGCGTCCACAGAACGCGGACTCAGATATACCGAAGTTTTTGGAGCTTGTTTTTCAAGATAAAATCCATTTGGTAAAGGGATATCCTCATGTACCGTGGATATTGCATGGGAAAGATGGGATTCCTGATTTTTAGCCTTTTTTTTTTTTTGAACTTTTGCCGGATGCAGATCATTCCAGTTGTTTTGTCTTCCAAATGAAATAGGTTAAATTTTAGTCTTCCAAAAAAAACTTCGAAAATATTTGCCACCAAACATAATCGTGTTTAGATCTGTTCATGGTCGGGTAACCCAACAGCACAGCCTGTTATTTTTTGAGTTTGGATAAAAACTTTATGTCTGTGGGTTTGGATTCGGGTTTTAAATATCAAGTCCGGTCATTTTTTGGGTTGGGTTCGGATTTTTTTAAATAAGTTCAGCCCGATACTATTACATATAATAAAAAACATTTATATTATATATAATATATATTTGTTTTTTAAATTATTAATAAATATTAATTTATTATTAGGAAATATAAATTATTTTATTAAATTATTAAATTAATATAATATTAATTTATAAAAATACATTTAAAATAAGACATTTTGTGTACATATCGGACTTTGAGTTCGGGCTCAGGCTTTAAACTTTATATAAGGGACAGGTTTGAATTCAAGAGCTAAGCCCGATGGTCGAGTCCGACTCAGGCCTCCACATTTTCTATTAATAAAAAAACAAAGCCTGGTCCAAACCCGACCCGATCCATGAATAGGTATACTCGTGTTTAAATTTGTGCGTGATGGCATTTAATTAGGTGGCTTTACCTTGTTTTTGAGTTTTGTAGTTTTATTAGACAGTATTGCATGGACTCATTAGCACGAGTTGTGACAGACATGTATGTTTAATGCAGCCTAATAATCGTTTTCAGAGGCCGGGAACTTATGAGATGAGATATGCTTCTCACACCTAGCGCCTCACACGCACATTCTATTATGCATTAAAAACATCTTTCGTACTTGTTAATTATTATTCACGGGAGATATTTTTAATGCACGGTGGATGTATCTGTGAGGCGCCCATTTGTTAATTATTATCCCGTCTCTGTGGCAACTGGCAACTGGCAACTGACAAGCCCGTTCCTTTTGATTCATTCTTAAGTAAATGTTCTAGATACGATTCAGACGCGTCACCCGTTAGTGGTCGACCGAATTGAACCCGACTCAGCGAGTCCTGATGATAAGTATGCGGTGGCATAAGAAGAGTAGAAGAGGTATTAGTTAGTAGGTCGAAGACACAAGCCGCGAACGAAATCGAGGGATGATGGTGTTAAGCTTGGGAGCCCTTCGACTTTCCTGCAATTCTTCTTCTATTCTTCTCACAATTCCTCATAATCTCACCATTTCATCTCTTTCCAGCAAAAGCTACAAAACACACTCACCTACTCTCCTTTTGAATGTTAATTCCAACAGTTTGGTCTCACAGGTTCGTAAAGAAGGCGGTCCTTTTCTTGATCAGCAAGGAGCTCGTTTCTCCGTTTTTGCCACGAAGAAACGTAACAAAAGCACTAGCACGCTCTTGGATATGAGCGGTTATGATGATGACGATATTGGGGATGAGGAAGACGATGATGAGATGTTTGTACCTTTTGCTAACATGAAAAAGTGGCTGCAGGATAAGCCATCTGGGTTTGGTGAAGGCAAAGTCTATGATACTTCAATTGAGGATAAGCTGCTTGAAGAAATGGAGCAGAGTAGAAACGCACAGCTTGCCAATATTAATAATCTTAAAAACAACCCTCCAAATGTCAACTCCAAGAAGGAGAAGCAAGTGAGAGGTTAGAAGTGATTTGACTTATTGTTTGTCTCTCTAGTTTCTTTTTTCTTTGGGATGAATCTCACTAGTTTGTTTCTCTTCTATTCATTTTATACTCCTTTTTGAAGTTCGCAACTTTTTTATCGTACCCATCATTTCTTCTATATATCATACCAATTCGACTTACTGTAATGCTATTAGATTGGTATTTGATAATTGATGTGAATTCGTGAGACTATGTAAATATATCTTTCAACTTACTACACCAGCTGGAGAAACAAAGTCTGATATTTATTTGTTTCCTCAAGATACTTTTGGGATTCTGTTGCTATGACATCACTTAAAAGAGCTTGTATCTCTCTTTTTATTTTGATATGTTATTTTTGATAGATGGACTTCCCAATCTCCAACTTCCATATCAGACCCATATTTAAAGAAGCAGATGAACTACTATTCTTACATGGACAAACCATTTTTTCTGTCCCGAATAGTTCCGGAGACCATGCTCTTACAGGAGCTGGTTAACAACAAACCCCCTATAAGAATAACTTGAAGCTGGTTATACTGTTTTGACCAACAAGGCTTAGATTCTCCATGGTCATTCCCGACCTGCAAGAGACTGCACATGTTAATCCAAGCATGTAAACTGGATTCAGTAAAAACTTTGCAACTTCTGTTGTTTAGAATTATATATCAGATCTAAGACGAGAAATGGGGATGTCCCCATATCCTGAGATACAGGACATGAATACGGGTACAGTGTTCCATTTTATATGCTTAAATGGTGCTCTTGTATCTTGTGTTCTAAGCTAAACATCATTTCTCAATAGTTATTTTTGTCAGATCTAATTAAACTTAGACTATATAAATTCTTTATAGTAGGATGCGTTAAGTTATACCATTTCACTTGTTCTAAAAGACTTAAATGTTATAAAAAAATAAATGTGATTGATAAAAAAAATAAGAGTTAAATTTTATGAATTATATTCTCTAGAAGTGTCCATGTTGTCATACAAGGTACATTTTGCATCCATCTAAGAATGTACCGGGATCTAGGTATCCATGGAACCATAACAGGTGTCCTGGAAACATTTTTATTCGTGAAAAGAATGATGTGAATATTGTCATTATGAGTTCTACACGACAATTGATTTCTAAAGGTGCCAGCTAGCCTGCTTGTAAAGTCTCTAGTTGGTTGTAGCAGAGACCTGGGATCAAGTCCCACCTTCACCTGGGTTTTAGGGGGGGGGGTGTCTAGGGGATGGCCACCGCCTATTGTGTAGCCCATTAACCCACCCACCCAAAAAATAATAATAATAAATAAAAAGAAAAAGAAAAAGAAATACAATAGATTTCTTAATGTCACCTGAAATTTCACTAAGGAAGGAGTGCAGTAGTTTATGCTGTCCCTTAGGCACATTTTTACACTTCAAGGTAATGTTGAATGCTTTTGATTTTTGTTACATAATCCTTCATGATATATATATATATATATATATATATATATACTATTGTAAATAACAGGTGCACAGGTGAAGTAGTGAACCCCATATCTAAAAAAATATTTGCAATAGAAATAATACCCCCTCACTTCTGTTAGATAAATGTTGTCACATCTTACTCAAAGCTCAAATGCATTATAACCCACAAAATATTTTGTTTTAGCCTTTACTGGTGTATGTTGCAAACAGGTACACTGTGCTGCTTGCTTAAAATGAAGATTATTGCTTAGTCCTGGTGGAAATGGGCCTTTTGGTCTCCAAGGGAACCATCTTTATTTAGTATCACACACATACACAGATTTTGTGTCAATTAGGGAGCTTCCTGACACAACCTACCTTATTTCTTCTACTACGTGAATGGACGATGTGGCGTGTGTATCCATTGGATACAGATTCTCTGGATTGGCTATATGTTCAATTCACTACTCCACATTAGCCCTATACATCTATTCCCCACCTTGTATTGGCATGTTACCAACTGATATTAGTTGTCCAGAGTTTCAAATTTTCTAAAAGTTGTCAACAAGGATGAGCTTATTCTCAACCTTTCTTAGACACATGGCAAAGATTTTTTGGTTAGAAGTTGTTCCACTAATAAAGGGTTGTGATAGGAATGTGTGGGCATCTCTGGGCTTTTGCATTTCTTGTCACATGGAGGATTCCTGGGTTGTATAAACTTGTTTACTTAACAACCCAACCAGGATCTTTAAAAATTCATATTTATTTATTTGAAAAGACTTGCCTTTTCTAAATATGGAATAAACCATACAAACATGCTGGCATGTTTGACTTGTTAGGATCACCATGCCTGGGATTGTACATTGTCATTCCTTCTCACTTTCCAGAAAAAAAGAGGAAAGGTCTAATGTTACAAAATTATACTGGATATTTGCAGCACCTGAGGTTATTTCAAGTGGAGTTCAGGTTCGTATTGGGAACCTTCCCAAGAAGAAGAACATCCATAGGGATCTGAAAGTGGCATTTAAAGAGTTTCCTGGAATAATAAACATAAGCCCAGCAGTCTCTGGAAACAAAAAGACTAGGGACCCTGTTTGCAAGGGCTTTGCGTTTATTGACTTTGACACTGAGGAGGCCGCAATAAGGTATATGCTTTGTAACTTTGTCTTATATGTGAATTTCTGAAAATCATATCATATCATAAATCAATGAGGAGGCTGCAATAAGGGCTTTAAAACAAGTTTCCTTTGACAAAACTTAAAACAACCCCTCCCCTACCAAAACAAAAAAAAAGAAAGAAAAAGAAAAAAGATAAATTAGATAACCAATCTTTAATTGAATTGATTTCAATAGCATGAATCATGTAAGTTGTAAGATTTTTGAATCAAATCATAGGATCCAAACAAAAATTACAAAAGAAATTGTAAGATTTTTGCATAAAAGGATTCAGACGCAAGATTCAATTTGAAACCATTGAGACTCATGCTTCAGATTATGAATTGTATTGTAATGGTGAGATTTTATGCACTTCATTGACCTAGCCATGGACTGCCTAATATTTGTTGTGCATTTCTGTAAATTTTAAGAATGAATACCAAGGCTTTTTATGTTTTTTTTTCCTTGAGATTGAAGTTCATAAGACTGGCTTTTGTGAACATATAAGGATTCCCAAAGCCATATTAACTAATGCCTTTCATACTGGATCTCTATTTTAAAGTAATGATGCTGAGTTGTCTTCCAGAAGTCTTACTCCCTTGAAATTCTCATTGTTGAACAATATATTAGTCACAACAAAATCGAGGTGAATATTAATCAAGTGAATTACCAATCATATGCCTATGGGCTTAATCCTTTTAGTATATCTGGAGTTGTAGATGAAGGAAAGATATTTTCTCAAATTAACTATTCCAATCATCCCAATGATAATGGTTGTTCACGGGTTATTTTCATTGTTCTTCAACTCAAACTTTTACCTTTGTCAGTTTAGTTCTCTATGCCAATAACTAATGCCAACCTTATTTTCTGTGGAACCGACATATGTGGTTTGTCTTAAAATAATGAGAAGTTTTTTTTTTTTATTGTTCTTCATAATAAAAGGTTATATCTGAGGTGAGCATCTCTGGATCTTGATTGTTTGATTATATGTTTGTAAGTTTTTTTTATCTGTTTGTTTATCTTTTGATTGGTATACTTGGCTAATTCTTTCCATATGTCTGTCAAGCCAGGTTTGTGAAGATATATTCAAGACAAAGTTTACTTTTTGGCAAGATTGAAAAGCAGATAACCTGTGAGATAACAAATCCACGCCACTCTTCCTATGCCCATTTTGAGCAGTCAATAGAGGAAAACTACATGCCTACATCTGAACAAACTTACCCCAGCATCAAAGAAGATCTAGATTCAGATTCTGATATAATTACAGTGAATTCGTGGGAAGACCCCTCTGGTGAGTATAATGATTTAGAGGATCAGATTATATCAGCAGACTGGGAAGAGACTGGTGAGAATGTTGAATTTGCCAACATGTGTGAGCCAAGTGAAGATGAAAGCATGCGACCAGGATCTACAACTAATTTATTATCCTCAAAGCGACAAAAAAAGGCCCAGAAAGTCCATAAGAAACAATCTGTCAAAAGAAATTCAGCCAAGCCTCCAAAATTGAATGTTCCAGGTTCTGCGAAAAGGTATTTGTTGGGTTTCTAATATCTACTATGGTCTATGGAGGTATTATAGAAAAACTAATTTACATTTTCTTGTTGGTGCAGACTGAAGGTTAGGGAAAAAGCTGTCCTAACAGGTGTGTTCTCCAAGTATGGAGGAAATCCTTCACTGACCTCACAAGAAGAGAGGTAATTCGGTATAGTAGTGTAGATCATTTTCACAACTGTTGAGATTGAAGACCAATCCAAGGTTCCCAGGCAGCAGATTTGTTAAAATTGAGGAAAGTGTTTGAAGTTGTGTAGCTGATATTGTTTTATGAGAGCTAGGTACTTGGGGGAGGGGATGGAAAGAATAATTTCCACTTTCCACATGTTAACCACCACCAAATTCAAATGAGATTCTTGGTGCAAATGAGTTTTGGCTTTTTGGCTCTTAAGCTGATTCAATATGTAAAAAGAAGGCCATTGTAGATGAATTGTTTTAGCTTTAAGCAAAATTAAATGATTCGTTTACATTTTGTTAAGATACAAGTATATGACTGTAAAATGGAACCATTTCATTCTGGTTCTGCACGACAATCATTGTCACAGGTACACCAATTCCTGATTGTTAAATATTTGCTTGCTCTTACGTTTCTATGGTAAAGACAATGAAGTTCTTTTCCTGAAATAATGAACTTGCTCTTGCATTTCTATGTTTGCTTGCATCAAGGTTCCAAATCAATTTTAAGAGAAGTATTGAAATGCATATATTAGGATATATGTTAGGGAAACTCACATAAATCTTGAATGTCCAGTTCAGCTCTCCCAAAGACCCTAGGTCTCCTGTAAGCAAAAACTGTGCGTACATGGCATCCATACATCAGGAATATCTCTCATACATGCATGTAAAATTTATAAGGAGATATTCCCAGTGTCTGCCTAAATACCCAACCTTTCAAAGTGTGTTTTAAGAGTTTTTACTTGAGGAGATCCCATGGCCACGTCATGGCTGCGGGAACCACATGGCGTGACCAAAGAACAATTTTCTTAAACTATATATATAGATATTTGTCTCCGAATAAATATAGAATAACCACAGAGTGACTTTCTATGAATAAATGCCTTGAAAGCCATATTGTAAATATTTTTTCGCACGGTGGTCCTGTCTTGACACGAAGCCACGGCAAGTATCATATGTTGGTATCGCTTACCGTTCATGTTAAGAAATTGAAAAAGAATGCCAAGTCATTTGGGCCGGATTCCCTGAATACCCAACGCTGTTCAGCTTGCTGTGTGCCCAACCATGACAATCCAGTTAAGCATTGCCATGTGCGGAGTTCGGATTTGCTCCTCAGAGTATGGGCCAATAAATGTCACCCCCAAACCCAAAGCAAAGACCATGTGAACTGAGCTGAGCATGTCATCCTGGAAGCTACCATCACAAATTATGCCAATGACTTAGGATTTAATTTGATATGCCGAAGATCCAACTCCTGAGAACATACTCCATCTTTGGTTGCTGTCGGTAATGTTTTAAAAATAGATCCAGAACTGGAACTGCTTTGGCCATTGATTTTTTGGTTGGCAGTTTAATCATTTGGTTTGAATAGATAATTTATTCTAATTAAAAAATAAAAAAATAATTAAAATAAGAATGGCCAGAAACTATTGTTCAGATTAATGAATGGATGGTTCAATCTAAGAACAGGTTAAGGGTGAAACAGAACATAACAAATTGACTGAACGGTTTTCGGGCTTAACAGTTCGACTGTTAAGATCAACAACCGTACTAATACACTGGCTGTCAGGGAATTTTTCTTTCAAAGAAGAAAAGCATGTAAAATCTGAGAATTCATAAGGCTAGCTCTAGCTGAGCTTGGTAGTACTAGTCTGTAATGCTAGTGCCTAAAACTCTTACCAATGCCGACTGGGGGTCATGACTCATGGCACATGAGACGAGGCGAAAGCAAGATGAGCGGATGTTGAACCAATTACTCCTTTTCTCGTCAGACGTCGGTCACACTGTCACAGAGTCACTGTTATAGGGGCTCGCACATGCGAGATTGTATTATCGTGCAACTTTGATGTGGAGGGCAGTAATTGGTTACACAGCCAGTTAAACAGCGTTGGGCCTTCAGCTAATCCGGACTCCTTTTGCCCGCCAAAACCTATGATCATCATTTCGATGAACGATGATGATTCCCTCTCTCGACTTTTGTTTTGCCTTGCGGGACTCAAACATCTCCAGCAGACTAGCAGAGAACTCATCTGAGGCTAGGCCTGTAACGTTTCTCCCACGGCTTTACGAGTGATCGTCGAGGTAGGCTTAGCTTATTTTCTTTTCTCCAATTCTGGTTTTGGCACATCATTCTATTAGGGTTTCATTGAAATGTAGTTTTTTCTATTATTGGTTTCCCTCATTTCTCTACTAATGAAAGTTTCTCGACTCATGTGTAATGTGTTCAATGTTCATCCTTGATTTCCTGAGACAAATATGTTCACATTGTTATTGGTTTTTCCCCCTTTTCTCCACGGGGAAGGGGACCGGGCTGTGATTCCATTGAATATCGTTTGTTTTGCCAGTCCTCTGGCGCTGTGTCATAAAATGTAACCTGAAAAAGTTTTTCTTCCAGAAAATTGGACAACTGTGGGAAAACTACTCTGTGATGAACTGCTTGTTGTACGTGTCTTCTGCGGCTATATTTTCAAAGACTAATTTCATCATGAAGCGTTCTTTCTATGCCTTTTGTAGTTCATCATGGAAAAGAAGCATAAACCATGCTGGTATTAAAGCCGTTAACTTAGATTTCGTGTTGACAAGATTTCGTGTTCAGTGTTATTCTAGCCGGCGTGGCAGTGGTGGGGGACGTGCCTCTCCGTCATCAAAGCCGAATCCTGGACCATCATCCATGGGTGAAGATGAGAAGGACGCTTTCTATGTTGTTCGCAAGGGGGATATCGTTGGCGTTTACAAGACTTTAAGTGATTGCCAAGCTCAAGTTGGATCTTCTGTAATTCCTACATTCCCTGTAAACTATTGTTATCTGTTTGATTCCCATTCTGTAGGGGAAGTTTTACGTTTCTTGCTATGCTTTCTTCCAAGTCTTTACGCTGTGATACATACTTTTAGATTCGTCCACCCCCTTGTTTTGCTTTATGAGCATTTTGTTAGACCAAGGTTATTTTCTTGCATCGGAACATGTTATTGGTTTCTGACCAAGGAAATGGTGAATGGTGCCCTTTTTTTCTTTATGTTAACCCTGCCAGTTTCTCAATTTTCACATTGCTTTCTTTTACAGAAATGTGTCTCACTCACTACAAAATTTTTATGGCTGTAGCAGTGCTCTCTAATGAATGTAACCATGTCCTTGCATCTTGATCCAGTTATTATTATTATCTTTTTTTGATAAATGAGAGTAGTTTCATTAATTCAAAAAATAGTAGTACATTCAGCCTAGGAAGAGGCACAAGGTGTTATCTCCCCCTAGGACTGAGTCATAAACAATAAACAAACACAAGCCTGAAACACAGTTACAAAGTGGCCCAAAACAGATCTCCCCTTGACACCCCTTGCTTGGCCAAAGAATCAGCCATTGCATTTGCTGATCTGCTGACCCACTGAAACCTGACTGACATATTCCTTGTCAGCCATTTAACTTTCTTTAACAGATCCCTGTAGCCCCAACAAGCTGTCTATGGACTTGTCAACCAGCCCACTACTACCTTGGAATCCCCTTCTACTATCAAATTATTCACTCCAAGTTGGCTGGCCATCTGTATACCTTGTACCGCTGCTAATATCTCTGCCCTTACAGAATCACCAACACTCACTGGTCCTGAAAATAAAGACAACATGTTGCTATCTTTGTCTCTCAGAATCACTCCTATTCCAGATGGCCCTGGGTTACCTTGGCAGCTACCATCAAAATTCAGTTTTACCACTCCATCCGGTGGGGATTCCCATTCAGCTTGTGATTTGTTCTTTGTGGAGACTGTAGAAGCCACTGCTGCCCAGTTTCTCCTTAAGTCATCAAAGGAGTAATCTGCCAACAAGTGTGAAGATTTTTGATCCAGTTATTATTGTTCTAGGAAATTTATAAGCTGCAACAACTTGGTTCTTTTCAGGCTAGTGCTTCTCTAAATTCTGATATTCACATTTGTTAAGATTGATTAGTTCTTCAAATATTCTCTTTGAAGGGTTTTCTTTCTATGTTAATGAGTTGTGTATGCAATGCCGGTAGGCAGTCAACTTTCCTGGCTATGACTCCTGCAAACTGCATTAAGATCTGGGCAGTCAGTGGCTATGAGACAGGAATGTTTTTATGTTGGGAAAAAGCTCTGCTACTTGTTTTTACCATTTATGCTAATTGTTTGGTATCTGCACTACTTTGAAAATAGTATATTTCAATTTTGGTTCTCTAAGCAAGCCTTGTCATTACCTAAGATAGAACACTTGCCTTGACAGTCCAAAACATAGGTGTTTCATGGATAATTTTAGTATGCTTCTTTATAGCTTCAACACTATGTTGGAAAAGTCCATCTAGTTTCTCTTGTAAACTTGATATGTCCCTTTTTTACTGTTGAAAAGAAATATCTGATTGTGCCAGCTCTCAACATTGCAATTCCTTCTCACTGATAAAAAAATTACTGATTCTGCAAATGGTTACTGAATCTGTTAAATAGGCGGTTATGCTAATTCTATGGTATTGATAATGTTACATCCTAGTGAGAGAAAAAAGACACTCTTTTAAGATGAATAATTATGCGTCAAGTGAATTGCTCATCCTCATTTATGAGACTCCCCATTCAAACCACTTTTTTGGTCATTTTACTGTTTAATGTTTTTACATTCACAAGAGATGGAGTTGTTTGACATTTTGTTTGGTATATACTATTTTGGTAATGAGTACTTTCTCTGCATTTTGATATTAGATACTTGCTGCTTTTCCTGTTTTAAAATTTGAAATACATCCAGAAGAGGTCAACATGTGCATGTCACAACATACTTACTAATGTGTAGATTTATGACTTCATTATATACAAAATATGATTGCCTTATTCTTCTTTATTTTTCCCCTTTCTTTTACGGTTGTAGGTATGTGATCCTTCTGTCAGCGTGTACAAAGGGTATTCGCTGCCCAAGGAGGCTGAGGAATATCTTGTTGCACATGGGCTCAAGAATGCTATGTATTCCATCAGCGCTGAAGATGTAAAAGGGGACCTTTTTGGAGCTCTTGTTCCTTGTCCGTTCCAGGTTATGTACCCAAACAATCTTCTTTGGAAGAAGTTTATGGTTGGTAGAAGCATTTGTGATGCTATTTCAGAATTACCCACTTGGTATAAATTTTCATTCTTGATGAAGGTGAACTGATCAATAGAAAAATGATACTGATGTGCATTATTTTTTTGATTGTTCTTTGTCAATTGTGAATATAGATATTTTAGAGACAATCCTTTTCCATTGTCAAATAGAATATTTTGAGTTACCAAATTTACATGGAAGTAAAGCACACCTGCATTATGCTGACAAAGCAACTGTGTCCATGTACTGTGTGTTACCCTTGGAGTTGGTGGATGGCTGTTTGTACAGTGCCTAGAGGCTTTGGGACATGTTAAATCAGACCAGTTTGTACTTCAGCTACCAGCAAAAGCCAAATGAAGAAAGGATTGCTATAGTGGCTTCTGGTTCTGACAGAATGGCTCTTGCTTCTTAAAAGTCTATTCTAAAATTGGCAAAAACACCTAAAATGCAGAGTCCTCCCTAGAATAATCTGAAAACTGATAAAACAGAGCCAACTGCATTTTTGGCATTGCATAGCAAGTTATATTCCTTTGTATGCCAAGTAAAATTATCAAGCAAATTTAAACAGACAATAAAAATGTAGGTATTGGATCCTAGTTTCAAATATTTAGTGGTTTGAAATATCTGATCGAACAACTGACATGCTCAAATTTGTTATTCTTTTCCTTTTACTGCCATGTAAGATCTTAATGTGTCTTATCATTTGTTCAAGAGATAATTACTTCCACTGTAGCTTGATTAGAAGTGTTTATTGCTAATTCGCTATCTACTATAAAACATGACTGCTTTTATTTGAAGTACTTCTGAATTTGGGAAATTTGGTTTCTTGTTTTTGCTTTCAGCAACCAGTGTCTCCTAAAGGTAAGACATCCAAAAAGGATTCCCCACAAAAGAGATCACATGAAGCACTGGAATTAGACAGCAATGTGGTAAGATATTGCAAATTCATTCCCTAGAACATCTTTGTTCAGTAACTAGACATCACTAAGATACTAATCAACAATAGACTATCTTTTGTTTACATTGAAGATATCAACTTCAAAAACGTTTGATCTTTTCTGCCTACTGCTCTGTTAACCCAAGTACCACTCCATCTTCAGATTTACCATGAAATTTGATTTCCTATGGCCAACTTTTGAGGTGGTCCCATGAATTGGTTCACATATAGTCATATAGACCCAACAATTATGTTTATTCTTTTGCTTCATCTGTCATTGGTACTTTAGGGGGTTACCAGCTACAGCCCAGCTAAGTGTGGTTGCAATTAGAAATTAAAACTTAAATATATGCAATGCCTAACCAGATATGCCCCTTCATTGTCAAGCTGCATTGGATTTTCATTTATTAGGGAGTTTTGGGTCTATATGCTTCAATTTCAATATATGCATTATTTTTTAATATTTTAACTGGAATTTATGCAATGTCCAACCAGGAAGGCCCCTTTAATTTCATGGTATGCTGGATTTTCAATATATTATTACATATTAGGTTTATCATGTTACAATTCCATTTATTGCACCATTTCCGTATTTTTTTTTTATTTCCTCTTGTGGATCAACTGATCAAGACTTTACGATGTATTAAAAGCACTAGATATGGTTTGTTTGAGCGATTTGAAATTTATGACTTATTGTCTAACATGTGATATGTCCTTATGTATTTACTGATTAGTGGACCAACCTTGGCATGTTGCAATTTTTTAAGGTCAATCAAATGGACCTGATTCCTAGACACACATGCACCTAAACCTATGTAATGTAGGCCTTGACCAAAAGTTTGTATGCCAAGTTGATAGAATGTGCAATTAAGCCAATGATAGCATTCAGAACTTATTGCCGAGTAGATTCAGAACTTATTGCCGAGTAGATATTTGTGCATTTTAATAGGGACATAGGGTATATGGGAGAAAAGGGATCATGAGTATCTCTAAATATACCAATTATAGATGGTATGTGGGTCAGTGGGTGAATCTCCAATTAGATCTTAACATCTGCAAAAAACTAGCAATTTAAGTATGTCTATGAAATTTACATTAGAAAGTGAAAGACAACAAATAAAGAAATATTTTATTTCATTTGAAGGATGATGCACTTGAGAGTATATTTTGTTGAACCATCAAGGTCTGATAGAAGTGTGTCACAGCTGGCATTGCCACCTATTTTCTTTAGTCGGTTAAAGCCTGGTGTGAAGTGTAATCTAGCTTTGCCATTTTTAACTTTTTCCTTTTAGCCTGTGATACCTTGAAATGGAGTAAGAGCTGTCTCTACTGGGTAAAGGGGTATAGAAATGATGCGGGTTTAGTGACACTGTGAAGTCAAGTATTATCCAATAAGCTCTGCAAAGTTTTCTTGCACTGCAGTAAGTGTAGGAAATAGGATTGCCTTCCAGCTTCACTTATTGAGCTTACAATGGTGCAAAAAGCATTAAGATCAATTGTCTTAATGCTTTAATTCTTATTAGTTATTCTCTTTTTCTGTTCTGATGTGTAATGTCTTCTTTGTGTTCTCTAATGTGCTCTGTATTTTCCATACTGGATAAAGGGGTATAGAAATGATGCGGGTTTAGTGACACTGTGAAGTCAAGTATTGTCCAATAAGCTCTGCAAAGTTTTCTTGCACTGCAGTAAGTGTAGGAAATAGGATTGCCTTCCAACTTTACTTATTGAGCTTACAATGGTGCAAAAAGCATTAAGATCAATTGTCTTAATGCTTTAGTTATTGTTATTTATTCTCTTTTTCTGTTCTGATGTGTAATGTCTTCTCTGTGTTCTCTAATGTGCTCTGTATTTTCCATACTATTTATTAATAAAATTTTTCTATTGATTATAAAAAAAAGCGTTAAGATCAATTGTGGCATGGAAGCAAAGAAAATTTGCATACTCACAGGGTGCTTGCAATAAACTCTGCCTTTTTCCCCATTTTTATGTTAGTGTGGCACTTAAGATACATAAATAGTGGCCACAACTTCAGAACCTCTCTGTTGGATGGGCAATCTATTAATGCTTTTTATTAATTGTTGTCAGCTTTCCTGGCCAAGCCTAGTGTGGCTTGGGAGCTGATGTAATATTTATGTGATGTTTTTAATAAAGCTTTACCTTTCCTTTCAAAAAAAAAATGTTGTGAGGTCAATTGTGAATCGATAATGGCATTTTTGGGATGGTGGATGAGTTGTAATTTGTAATTTTTGGTTTTCATAATTAAAACATTGATGCATTTTATTATTTCTTGGGAAAATAATAAGAATAGTGCAAAAGAATATTAGTATTGCAAAAAAAACTAACAGATTGTTAGCATACAGATCAACTAATTGATGTGTAATTTAAAGTGTTTTTAGTCTAAAGGATGTGTTGATTACTTGATTTATTATATGGATTATCACTTAGTATTTAGTGCTTCTTTTTTATGGCCATTGTTCACATCTACCATTCTGAATGGTTGTTTTTGGGCATATACTACTTTATGATGACTTCAAATGTGCATTGTCATGGTTATGTAGAGATTGTCTCACTTGTTACTTCTTGGATTTGTTGTACTTGTTGATTGATTTTGGTCATATGATAAGACCTAAGCATATATTGATGCTTATATGCCCTTTCTTAAAAGTTATATTTCAAAATTTTCATCATGTTCATTATTGTCTCTGTAAATTTACAATCCTTTTACAGTCCATGAATATCTGCTTACAAGGACTTGATTTTGTACCAAAATTGAAACTCAAAACTTTACGATAGGAAATAGAGTATGATATAAGCTATGATACAAGATGTCTTGCAGATTTTGTTTGAGAATTGATAGGTTTGAGGACATTCTAGGTTGAATTTTTCAGGGCATCTATAGGCTTGATTTTATTCTTAATATGGTATTATACTATTATCTATAGTAATATTCAAACCTTTCTGCAGGTAGGAATTGGTTCTACATCTGTTATGTCAGATCCCTTGTGGAAGCATGCCAAATTAGAGCATTCAGTTGAGGCACAGGGAATCTCTAAAATTGTAAGATGACCTCATGGTGCTTGTTGAGTACTGTTTTTTTTTCTTCTTTGAAGAAGAGAAAGCATTTTATTGTTGAGGAGGGAAAACCAAGGCTTAAAATGTTGCTATCGGTGGAATTCTTGGTCATCCAAATATAAGAAACATGTCAGAAATGTCTGAAATGTTGTATAGAAATATGGTATAAATTATAGACATGGTGGAAAATCATTGTATTATATGATGACTTGGCTGGAGGTCACTCATCCTAGTGGAGAAGTGCCTTGGAAGTTCAGGTTTTGTGCCAGAGAATTTCTCTTCCCTGGGAATCAAATAAAACGCTTGTTCAACTGGATTCCTAGAGGTGCAAATGAGGCGGCTGATGAACTTGGCAAGGAGGGGGTTTAAAAGAAAATCAAGGGTGGGATTCTCTGGGTTTGCAAATTGATTTATAACTTGCTATTTCTCATTGTGTCTTATGTCAGCTGCATGCTGTTTGTATTCTTGTTCTTGCTGCATGCCTATAAGGTTTCCTCATTTCTTTTAATGAAACTCTGTTAATTATAAAAAAAATCATTGTAACATACCATAATATTTCATGAAAAGATAAAAAGCATAGATACGCCCCTTCAGATTATTGTCATGTCCCAAATCATCAAACAAACCAAGAAACTAATGTTGATATACAAAATAGTACACACTGTGGAGTTGTTCTGTAGACTTTAAAGAGTTAAAAAGTACATAATAGAATAAATTCAAACAAAATTTAAACTCATAGAAAGTGCAAATGATTCTAATAGATGCTAAATAACCTATTACACAAATAAAAACTTAGATTTAACATCATTTCCAAAAAGAACATCAAACTGGCTCAAAGTGGTCATCTCCATTAGGTTGTCAATGATAGTGCTACTCTGCATATCTACAGTGTTGTTTCCAAATTATTATATTATAATACCATCTTGTGTACTCCATATAGTGCCATTGGTTTTCATTGGGGAAAATGTCTATCAAGTAATATTTCGTATAGGTACCCATTTAAATGAAAATATGTCAAGGAAATATTAGGATATATGTTGACATTCTAAACCATGGGAAAAGCAGATTATAGAAAACCATCAAAACTGACATAGTTGGCTAAGATACAGTAAGAAGCTGTATACATGAGAATCCATCCCCAAAAGCAAATTGTGGACCCACAGAGGGACAAACTCGATCCTCCCCAAACCATTCGCGAATGGACAAAACAGAGCTAGATTGAATATGCTGGAATGTCTTATGCACCAACATCCAAGAACATATCCTACCGACCTTGAGATAGCCTTATAGAAGGATTTAACTGAAAAAGTGAAAAATTTCCAGATTTGTCCCATTTCCACACTCTTCTATCAACACTCCCTATGTCCACCTGAGTATCATATAATCTTTGTAGCAATTCTACCATAGCTTCTCCTTCCCAATCATTCAAAAGTATTCTGAGCTGAGGAGACCACACCAGACTGCCATTTAGCACTTGTAAATTCTCAGCCACACAGGAATTCTTGTTCACTGCCACCTCAAAAAAGAGTAGGAAAACTTTTCTTCAGCAGTCTGTCTTCATACCACGTGTCTTCCCAGAATTTTACCCTGAGACCATCACCAATTTTGAACCTTATTCCTTTTGAGAAAAAGTCATGAGCTTTCTCGAAACCTTTCCATAAAGTGCAACCTGCCTGGAATTTTACCATTGCACCAAGCAATGGACTCTACAATCTGGTATTTATTCTATGGGTGTGTATTGCTAGGGGCATTTATGGTTCATTAAATATCCTCAAGAAATATTGTAGTTTATTATCTCAATTTTGTATGACATTCATTTCTTTCCACTTCCCTGGTTCCTCTTTTTGAAAGGCTTATAGTGTTCAATTTGACCAATACATATTTCCTCTTGCATACTCAATTTTGATTTTTATTGTTCTATCGATTTTCTACTTGAAAACTTCTTAAAAAGAATGGGAACCTTTTCTGCAGATACTTCATTACAGTTTACAGAATGGAAACCTTTTTCTTTAAGATGAGAAAAAATTAGCTCAGACATGCTAATTGTTCAAATATTCTTTGCTAAATCTGATAGTGAGGTATGTGAAGGGGTGAGGCAATGTTCAGAGATATCTCTCTCAAGTCTCAACTCTGAAGATTTGATAAGATAGTCATGTCTCATGCCTGCTTTCTTAAAAAAGGGCAGCCCAGTGTATGAGGCTCCTGCCAATGTGGGGTCTGGAGAGGGAAAGATGTATGCAGCCTTACCCCTGCACATACAGAGAGGCTGTTTCCAAAATTTGAATCCTGGTCACCCAGGTCTCATGCCTGCTTTCTTGGTTAACCAAATGTACAGTCAACAGTGTCCATTTGCAGGATCTGTTGTTGCACTCAAAACCTCGAATATGATATTTGTTTCTTCATATCTTATGGAATAGAGATGTCCATGCAGTAAAGATCTAACTCTTCTATTTAGGCTTGCAGAGTCTGATGATCCTTGGTAATAAAAATGGGTTAACTGTTAGTACACGATCTGGTGGTTCCCCTGGTTTCAGTTCTGGCTCTGATTTTGCAATTCAAATTTCAGAAAACCCTAGTCCTCATTGATAGTTTCTATTGTGTTCTTGGTTCTGCTTGATTTTCTATTCGGGTATTCAGGGTTTGCACAAGAGGGTAGTAATTATTCTCCTCTAAGGTGTCATCTCCTTGTTCTGAAATGTTCTGGCATTTCTTTCCACCCAAATTTCCTAGAGAACTGCATAAAATGGTGCTCTCCATAGTCCATACAGCCATTACTCCAGCTATTAAGTAGCAGCTGTTACCATCTGGGCTTTGGAGCCTTAATGTGTCCAAGCGCTACCTGAAGCTAGAAGTCCAAATTGGATGGCTTCAGCATAAACAGGGATGTCTGCAGGATTCTCCAAAGGGAGGAGCTGTATTGATTATACTTTTTTATATAATAGAGTCTATCTCAACACAATGAGAATTGCTTGGCCATTAATGGATCCTATTTGAAGTTTATTTCAAAGATCAATTTCTAAACAGTAAGGGGAAAGGGGTCACCATGTGGCTTCACAGGAAAACTTCCAGCATTCCTGTGTTATTTGTTCCTAACCAGTCAGTCTTTGTCTATTAGATTACCCATTTATCTTTCTTTTTCTAACCAGTGATTATGCTCTCTGTATTTTCTGAAGCCCAACTGAATGAAAATATAAACTAACAAACTGGAAAGTATAACTGAGCAATTGTAACTCATATGGTTAGACATTCTTGGTGGCTAGTGGTTTTGTTCAAAGGCTATATGTGTTATGCTATATCACTATATGAGATGAATATGTCAGCCAATGCTTATCTTACAACATGTTGTGCCATTGTTCCCTTGTTGCACATGGACTTGATCACCATGTACACATACAGCTATCCTGCATTCTTGAGTTCGATGGTGCTTCAAAAGGAAATCCTGGAAAAGCTGGTGCTGGAGCTGTACTTCGAGCTGAAGATGGAAGTGTGGTATGCAGTTCCTTGAATAGATACCAAGTGTTTTTGCCTGCTGATGACTTTTCTTAAATTCCAGCCTTCTAATTTTGCATTCATTTTGTGAAGATTTGCCGATTGCGTGAAGGAGTGGGTATTGCAACCAACAATGTTGCTGAATATCGAGCAATGCTCTTGGGATTAAAATATGCTATCAAGAAAGGATTTAAACGAATTCGCGTGCAAGGTGACTCCAAACTTGTTTGTATGCAGGTCTGTTTATCTTCCCCAATTCCATCAATGTTTTAATTGCTTTGTTCAGCGTGCTGTGCTTTTAACTCATTGCAGCCAGAGGATGAGAACCTTGTTGATGCAGGAAATTTTGTGGAAACTGTTGTAGGGAAACTGACAAGAGATTTGGGTAGAAGAAGATCTGAAACTAGTGAGGATGGAAGGAAGCAGGAGGTTGTAGTTAGAAACAAAAATGATCTGCTTAGTAAAAGACCTAAGGGTTTAAATTCAGGCCAGCTGGTTCATGTGACTAAGGTATTTTACAGGTTGAAGAACAGGCTTTATGTGGTGGGGCCAAGTGATAGATATAAAAGAATATATAAGAGAATGGTGAAGTTAAAACCGATCAACACTCTGGGCTGGGGATCAGGACTCCTTGTTGGTGGGATGCAGGGCATGTTGAAGGACTTCAAGAGGATTTGGCATTAAATTGTGTAAGCAGGGAGGTGAACAAGGAGGAGGGTTTGGAAGGGCAAGAAACTAATGATGAGCAAATCCTAAATCAAACTAGATTGGTTAAGAAGTTAGAGCTGGAAGATGTGGTAGAAGCAGATGTTCAAGTTAGCAAATTATTGGGTATTTGCTTATGGGTGGTGAAGATTTTGCTAGGAAAACTTTTCTGGAATTTGAGAAAAGAGAGATGGGTAAGCCGGTAAGGTTGGATAAGCTCAGGGTGGTCTGAGCTGAAGGGTGAAACTTGTTGGTTTAAGGTAGGAGAGAAGAGGGATTGGGTTTGGTGCTGGTTTGGTCATGTCGATGGGTTAGGGTCTTCTTCTTGTTGAAGTTGGAAGTTGTTAGGGCTGGGTTTTGTTTTTTCTTCTGGTTGTATTGGGTGGGAAGGTCTATCATCTATGTTGGGTGGTGGTTCTTTTGTGGGTGTTTCCGTTTTTCTTTCTTGGGGTGATTCTTTGTCACCTGAAGTTGTATTCTTCTTTAGTAGTTTTAGTAAAATTATCTTTTTTATTTATCTTCCAAAAAAAAAAAAAACAATTACAACAATAATAACTCTTATACAATAACATCCTCATCCATACAATAAAAACAATAATAATAAGGGCCACTTCAAAATCCTCGCCCCAATCTTTCTCTGCCATCCAATATGCTAAACACCCTAAGAGAAAAATAAAGGCCACTTCAAAATCCCAACACAACTTTTCCAAAGTGATTTATTGTTTAAATTACCTTCCAGGAGAACCTTTCTTTCAATGGATAACTTAATTTTACTATTAATGCATAAAGTTAATATTTACAATGATGCCAAGCTTCCCAAAAATTAAGTATAGGAGAAGACCATCTCATAGAGTATCATTATACAGTATCTGCTACAATTTGGTTTTTCTAGAACCTGTATCTGTCTCTTTTCTCCAGTTCCATGATCACCTTCTTATCCTACTCTTCATCTCCTAGAAAGAAATCAAGAATGACCTAAAACTCTCACCTACTCTTGCCTTTTTATTTGTCACCTTTTTCAAGTCTATCTTTTTATCAAGCTGAGCGACTTCATCAATTAAAATAATGCCTTCATCAGTTTGCTGCTCTGCTAAAGTTGCTCCCCACTCCTTAGTATCTCCTTGGAAAGCAATTCATGAAGTCTTCCCAATCTTTCTTAACTATTAGGTATGATGTGGGAAAGGGTGACAAAATAAGTTTTTGGGAGAATCTATGGTTGGTTGTTGAATTTAAGTGTGTTAGAAGGTTTGCAAATAGTTTAGCCGACTCCCTAACTAAACACAGGGTTATGAGTTAAAATTTGTTTTGGACATCCATGTAATTTGGGGTTGCAAGTAGGGATTGACAATATGGTAAAAAGAAGTTATATTAATCATTTTGGCATTCAAAATGTTATAATAAAATCATTTTTCTGCTGATAAAATAAATGTCTTTTGAGTTCTCGCTAACCGGTCAAGTTTCATATATGCCCCTAAATTTGACAAATATCCTTCAAAGCAAAAGAGATTCTATCACACAAGGTGATATGAAGTCATACTTCTTGAGCAGAGTGTAAATTTTATCTTGTTTTGTTTCAGCTCTAATTCTTTTTTATTTGTTGAGTTTTGTCTTTTAAAAAAGTCTATCCAGTTCCTTGATTGAATTAGATCAGATATTTTATTTCCATTATTTTGCTTCTAACATGAAGACTTGTAAGTCTACTTGATGGAGTTCTCTGTTGTGATGTCCAGGATGTTTGTTCTATCCTAGTTTATGTGGCACTAATTAGGGAATTAGTATGATCATTTAGATATGCATCTTTAGTGCTGGAATACTTTAAAGATGGTTCTTCCTTTTACTTGTTGCGCTTGTTTTCTCTTTCAGCCATCATGTTCTTTCTTCATTGTTTGACATTTGTTCTTTAATCAAATTTCATTTGTTATTGATCAGAAAAAAGAATAAGCTTAAGTATTGTAACTACTGATGTGGTGCTCAAACTCTATTTGTATCACTCTCTAGTACACTTTGCTTCCTACTTTGTGGTAATAGATTCCTATTGAATTTTATTTCCTTCCTGTACTACGTTCTGCAACAGGTTCAGGGTCTATGGAAAGCCAAGAACCAGAACATGTTGGACTTGTTAAAGGAGGCCAAGGAGCTCAAAGATAAATTTTTCTCTTTTGAGATTAGTCATGTTCTCAGGGTATATAAATTCTGTGTTCCAATGCCAATAGTATGTGTTATCAGTGTCTGGAGAATTTTATGCTTTTTAGGTCAATCCACATTTTGATGGCCAGATTAATGGTTCTTAACTGTATTTTTTTAGTGTGAACATGGCTTATTTTTATTTTAAGGGAATTCAACAAGAGGTCAGTGCCTTCCTGTTGACTTTGTGGTCTAAGCTAATTCGTGCTTTTGCTAGATCTATCATGGAAGACATACAAACATTGCTTGTATTTCTGCAACTTGTTTTTGATGGTTTTTGAATCCTAAATTCCTGGCTTGTTAGCGCAATGGTTGCTCCTATTGTTTGGTAATATAGATATTGAATTACTATTGCAATATGAAACATATGGTTCCTAAAATTGTTCTATCCGCCAGTATTCATCCTCAGCCTGTAGTGGAATAATCCAGTGCTAAAATGTTTCACTTGATTTATATGGATAGTCTTCTTTAGCATCAGCTTCCTCTTGCTTAAGAAAATTGAATTGGGAATATATGAATTTGACCTTTGTCATCCGCTAGAGACCAAAAAGGCTTATAATGCAAATTAATAATTGCTACATTTCTGGCCTAATTGGTTATGTGAATTAATAATTATTACATTGATGGGTTCTTATATGCAAATTAAATGCAAAATTAAGTTTATGGACAAATACCTTACAAAAAAGGTTTTAAGAAAAGTAGGACTAAAACAGAATATATGATATGTAATTTTAATAATAATAGGAGTGCTAATCAGAGTATGAGAGACCAAGAGATAATTCAATGTTCATAACAAGGGAGAGATTAAGGAGGATGTTGCTCATGCCCCATAGAATTAGAGCAAGATGGGCAAAATGGAGAGGCGCATATCTTATATGATAGGCGGATACCACTTGGGTTAAAAGGAAAATTCTATAAAACAGTTGTAAGGCAAGTTATGCTGTATGGAGCAGAGTGTTGGGCACTCAAGAAACATTTCCAAAAAAAGAGTGGCAGAAATGCATATGCTGAGAGGTAATGCTAGAAAGGATAGGGTAAGAAATGAAGTCATTTGAAGGAACCTAAGAGTAGCTCCAATAGGTGATAAAATGAGAGAAAGTAGACTAAGTTTGGTCACATAGGAACAAGTGATCTGTTGCAAGTTGAAGGTGCTAGGAGGGGTAGTATCCAAGTAGTAAGAAATGATTTAAGTGCTAATAATTTAATGATGGATATGGCATTAAATAGAACAGAATGGTGAAAAAGGATTCATGTAGCGATGATGATGGCAAAACAGGATGCTTACATTGTTGCTACTATTAGAAAATTGATCGGAATGTAATAAAGTAGATTGCCTTGCTTTTGGATGCTTATGTTCTTTTTTTTATGCTCGTATTCTTCTTGGTTCACTGCTTTTAAATGTTCACCAGCTTTTTCTTTGTTTATCATTTTATCTTGGTTCATAAATTTATCCCACTCATAGGAACTTTATTATTTTCATTCTAAAGGACCTTAATTCTGATGCTGATGCTCAAGCAAACTTGGCTGTCAATCTTGAAGGTGAGATATTTGATTCCTCGTCTAGTCTTGTTTTGTTAATTGTGGAAAGTTGATTGGATCCATCTACTTCTTCAGATGGTGAAGTTCAAGTGGAGTGACAAGTAGCTCGTGAATAATCAGAAACAACTCTATTCTAAACGGTTCTTCTGCAGAAAGAGGCAGTAATATGCATGAACTTAAACTACATTTTACTGCAAATGGGATCAAAGATTACTTTGTGATCCCATATTCTGGGTGGTGAGCGATGCTAATGCGACATGTTACAGTTCCCCCTGGGTCCTCGATGGTGGTTACTAGATTCCATTTTAGCATGTCCTGACTTTCGGCTTTATTGAGAATGGTGTCTAACTTGACAGTTTTTGGGAGGGCTGATACGTGATACCCCAATTACACACTAGTTTAAGGATTTCAGTTTGGTGCCTCTTGTTTCACAAGGGAAGAATTGAAAGGAAAAGAATGTTTTTACTATTATTTGTACTTAAGTTTATTAAACGGGTATGTATTTCAAGGCCATATCAGCTGACATCCTCTGAATGTGTTATAAGTCCCATTATGTGCGCCGTCAGATGCCCGTGGTTTTTGGTTTTGTGAAATTTGTTGAACTAAATTGTTAATTTCATTATTGAAATTGAACTATACTAGCCGGAACAGACTATTTACAGTGCAAATCTGAATTTGATGCAAAATTTGCACCCAGTTCGGTTATGCATCTATTTATTTGTAACTGTGGTTTGCGTTCTAATCGATATAAAATTTGTGCTTGTCTTATTTGCACTCAATCTGGTTTGGTGTACTTGTGTTGGATGAAGAAGGGTCTATTTAAATGAAAATTGGAATCCGAAGCCTCCTTGGATTAGGTCAAGTTAAGAACAACCCTAAACCAACTTGAGTTGTTGAATCCCCAACCCTAACCCATTCCGAAGTTTTGGGTTGGGTTGGGATTGAATTGGGTTCAAGTTGGTTTTGAATTAGCCCGATTTCTCTACCTCGTGTTTGCCAAATGTACTTAAGTAGGGATGTCAATTTTTACCCTACTTGGTGGGCAAGGTTCTAAATATTGATATGCCCGATACACCTGTAGGTAGGGCTGTTCATAACAAAGTTCAAACCAACCAACCCGGTCTGGCCCAACTTGAGTTGGCCAGTTTTTTTCACCACTGGTTGGTTTTGGGTTGCAAATATGGATAAACCGATGGTTTGGTTTGGTTTTGGTTTTCATGTGTGAAAACCGAAACTGAATTGAACCGAATTGAGTTATATAACTACTTATTACTTATTAGTTATTACTTAACTAGGTTGTCTCTATCCTAGTTAGGGGTGTTCACGGGTCAGGTTGGGTTGATTTATTGGGGTTTTCCCAATTGACCCGACTTGGTTGGGTTACTTGAGGTGGAAACTGAAACCGACCCACTGATATGCCAAACCGACCGGTCGGTTTGAGTCGGGTTGGGTCGGTTTCGGTTTTGCTCCTGTACAAAAGGACACCTAATTGAATTCTAATTGTAATTGCCTAATGGGTTGCCTATTTGGTGTAAAAGATTATAGAAAGTTAGAAACTAGGATAGATTGTCTATTCTAATTGTAATTGCCTAATGGGCCTTCTAGTTATAGTTAATTAGGAAACTATTCAAACTAGGAACTACCGAACTAGTAGAAGACTAGTTTCTACTAGTTCGGTTCGGGTTGGGTTGGTTTCGGTTTTCACACAAGAAAATCGAAACCAACCCGATATATCGGTTTATATATTTGCCCAACCCGAAACCGACCGGTACTGATGAAAACTCGGCCGACTCGGGTTGGGTCGGTCCGGGTTGGTCGGTTTGGTCGGGTTGGGCATTCTTATGAACAGCCCTAATCCTAGTTACAACCTAACTTAGTTTCTAGTCTTCTCTTTAGGATTGCCATTAATTAATGGAAAGCATTGCAAAGCAAGGAATCCCTAGTCCTACTCCCTACACCTTTACTCCTTTAGAAATATTAGCTTGATAGCTTCTTGCATTTTACAGAAAGTGATGAGGACGGATTTGGCCCTCTAGTGAAATTGTGACACCAGGCACCTCATGCCAAATGTACAGCCTCTTGACAACTAGACAACTCAAACTAACCACAGGCAGCTCGCCATAGGCATCTCACCACAGGCAGCTCACCCTTAGCCCGACATAGGCGCGAGCTGGTAGCTTGACAACCTGGCCCAGACACCGACCCGCCGCCTGACACAAGCGTCGACCTGGCAACCTGGCCCAGGCGCCGACCTGGCCGCCTGACATAAGCGCCAGCCTGACAACCCCGAGGAGCTCACCACCGTACCCCGGTTCTGACGGAATGTGACGAGTCCTACCGTTTGAAGGCTTTTCACCCACCTAACACGCAACAGGTCCCATCACAGCAGGGATCCAGTGACCGTTACACTAACCCACGAGAACTCCAGTATATAAAGACCTCACCCCCTAGAGGGGAGAAGGAGAAAAAAGGATGGTAACCCCTTCTCTCTAATTCTCTCATTCTCTAATACAATCTCCAAGCCCTCTACTATCAGAGTGCTAACTTAGCCATCGGAGTGACCCCGTCGGGTCAACACCCCCGGGTTCTCTGATTCAATTCTCACAGGTTCCTCAGCTCCCGCCGTCTACAAAGAGGAGCAGATCATCTCATGTAGGGAGCAATCGGGTTGCACTACACTAGGGAGCTCGTCATCAAGGCAGCTCACCACCAGACAGTTCGCCACCAGGGAGCTCCACTTCATCCTCTGAGCCACAGGCCACCTGGGAGCAGATCAAATGACGAGGTACTTAGCCAAAAAATTGATACATCACGAAAAAATGATACATGGCCAGAAACGGTTACATCAGAAAGGTTTAAAGAAAGGATCCTTACTCTCTAAGGTCCTTTACACCAAATAGGTATCCATTTTTTCTTAAATTAGAAGTTTTCTTAGATTAGAAGTTTTCTTCCAATAGGCAATGACAAGGCGTAGTGGATGGACAACAAGTAGAACAACAAAGTTTGACTTCCCAAATTATTCAAGTGATGATCTTATGACTTAGATCTTTAAGGCCAAGAGATGCTTTGAATATCACAAAACCAACCCAAACCGATTCAAACCGGCCAGGTTGGTTTTGCTTAGTATATGATCGATTTCAATTTCACCTTTAGCTAACCTGACCAGGTTGGGTCGGCTGGAAAGCACTAGTAAATTGACCCAATCCAACCCGTGAACATGAGTGTATCGGTACTTTTTTTTTATTTTTTTACTTTTCTTTTTCAAATCCGATTCAGGGGGGCCGATTTAAGGTTCCTCCACCCCCTGAACTAGTCAAAACCCTGATACACCCTTTGTAGGGGCATATCGAGGTGCTCCCAATACGATATGTATCGGTTGATACAGTTCGATACATAACGATTTTTTGAACCTTGCTGGTGGATACCCGCCCCTACCCTCCCCGATGGGGTGGGTTTTTTTTGCTTGAAGAATGTGTTTTAGGGTGGGGATGGGTTTTGGGATTCTACAACCCATAGGGGTACGTGTAGGGTATGGTATTAGGCTAAACCCGACCTTCCTTGACTTGCATATTGTTGGAAAGCATGTGTTGAATTTAATAATATTTTAAATTTTACATGAAGGATAATTGATAGTTTGTGTTTTTTACACACCTTAGTCAAATAATTAGAAAATTTGTTATTTATTTGTGTTATTTTTCTTATTTATTACTTATATATGACAAGAAATAAAAGGAAATTAGATGCGGGTTCTAAACCCAACCTGCCCAGCTGCCTCTACCCTTGAATGTGGGGAGGATATAGTCGGGGAGGGTTTTGCATTTTCATGTATGGGTAGAGTTTAGATTCTCAAAATCCAACCCGCTATGGGTTCTGGGACAGGTATAGGTTGAGAGGTTTAGGGTCTAGAATTTACAAAACCCTCTCCGAACGCGCCCTATTGCCATCCCTACCAAAGACAAGATATCCGAATGACTATAACCAAGCAACCCGTATCATAAATGTGGTAACAAATCAGTTGGTATGTATCAAAATTTGTTGATGGGTTTTGATTGGCCAAAGCTCTTTTCGGTACAATGTTTTTGTGGCATCATAGATTTTTCATTAAGAAAAATGTTTTTAACTTCAATTTGACAAACAATATACATGCATATATATGTAGATAAATAAATACATGAATGCATAAATATTTACAGAAAAATATATATAAATATGAACATTTACAGATGCATAGGTGCATATACATAGATCTATGAATATACATATATACAGGTATTTACAGTCTTGCATGGAAGAGATGCCATCATGCCTGTGACTCCACGTCTCTTTGAGTTAAAAACTTTGAACCACGACTCTTAGGGGTGTAAATGAATAGAATTTAAATCGAATCCAGATTAGAAAATTTGATTTAATATCTTGTAAGATATTGAAATTAATATTTGCATTCACTTAGATATTTGACATTTAAGTAATTCATAATTATATAATACAAATATTTTATTTATATAAATTATTTAAATATATATATATTATAAATATAAACTATCTAAAATATTTAAATATTCTATATATTATTATAATTAATCGAATTTGAATATTTATCAAATCGAATCCAATTAGTTAATATCTGAATTCGATTTATCGGATTTTTGAATACCGTGGACACCCTACCCTTGATTTATCGTTGTGACCCCACTTGACCTTTGAAGGGACGGCCACGCAATACATCTACATCGATCGATGGCCGTGATTTCATGGTTTTAGCCCAAAGCTATGCCAACGGACGTAGCGGCTACTCAACAACTTGCTACCAGTACCACGTGTACGGTGAGAGCATGAAAAACCACTCGAAGGGGTCCGCCTTCTGAGTTCTGACTGTTCTGTTCAAGATAGATGGTCTTGATCCACGATCGTGTGCACAGAATTGAACAACAGGGAATTTGTACTACACACAACAAAACACCAAATTCACTCAACATTGTACAAGTTGGAAAAGATAATGTGCTAAGTGGATACTGGATAGGGAGGAAGTTCAGGGTAGAAACAGTGGAGTGGAACCACTGACGAACGCACTATCAGTATCACCTCACTCTCACTCACTCCCGGTTATTGAACTTGCAGGAGAGGAAGAAGGCTCTGGCTGTGCTGTTTGTTGAAGAGCAATGCCAATGGCAGCAGCTGTTGCAGCATTATCATCGCCGTACTCCATTTGCAGAAACAACTGTTCTCTGTTTTCTAGTTCTTCTTCTTTGGGTACTCCCCTCCCATGTCTTCGTCTTGGTAGAAACGGTGTTGCCCATAGTTCTCTGTACTTGACAAACAAGAAGTCAACCCGGGAAATGCAAAGGTTTCGATCAGTTGCAGAGGAAACCCTTGTCCCAGAAGAGGAGCAGAAGGAAGAAGCTCCTGTTAATGAGTCTGTCTCGGTCCCGGTCTCTCCTTCCGACATGCTCACTATGTTCTTCCAGGTACCCACACTCTCTATGTGAATACCGAGTTTCTTATTCCTCAATCGAATTTCTTGTTTATGTCGTTTTTGTTTCAATTGCTTGCTCATTTGGTTTGTTCTTCAATGGTCCCTTTTGTTTTCTTTAGTCATCGTTAGCCTGTTTGTAACAGATTTGCTTGGAAGTGAGATCATCTATCCTGGTTTTTACAGCATTTGAAAGCATACAAGGTCGTCAATAAAATGGACATTGGACAGACAATTCAAGCAATACAAAAACCCCAAAAACGATAAATAACGTTAGTAGGACCTTTCCTTGCATAATTATTTCTGAAGGGACTTGTTCTACACTGCACCAAAACTTAGAGCAGTAGTTTTCCAAGGTTTCTGGCCTTGGGATGCCTTCCACATGTCTGTTTTAACCAAAAACAAAAAGAAAATAAAAAAGCAAAAAGTTCATCATCATTTGTCCTCAACGATATGGTTGTTATGGTAGTAAAAGAAAATTAAGCACATTATTAAGAGGAGAGGAAATGAACTGAACTTTTCCTGCCAAGAAATCGGAGAACTCCATCCAAATCCTTTTTAACTGTTGCCTAGTTGCGCTTTGATTCTACTTTATGTAAGTGCTATCTGCAAATTTTATATAGGATTTATCTTACACTTCTATATTTTGAATATGCAGGCAGAAGGAACAATGGATGAATCAGCTGTCCCAACCGTGACCAAAGCTTTGGAGGTTTAAGTTTGTTGCTCTGTCTTTAGTGTGCTATGTCTTTTATACTTCACTTTGTTTCAAGTTCAGATTATCCCAAGTCGTGTATGAGAAGTGGCCTTGGTGCCATGCTTTTTAACCAATATCATCCCCCTGCATCCCAGTAATGTTATGTCTTCTCTGTATTCTTTCTCCTTATAGGAAGAGATGAAGGGAGGGTGTTTGAGGAGCAGGATACTCGAGAGGACAAGAGCTAGGAAGGGGTGGTGAAGTGGGAAAAAATGCTGAGGGGATGGAATCTAATATTTGCCGGTGAGGTGGGCAAAGGGTTAACAACAGTTATCAGTAGCTCAGTTCCTCAAGTATGAGAATTTGAGATATTTACATCTGTATACTTAGGTGTGAATTTTATGCATGTATTTTTCCATGATTCAATATATGTTTATAAATGGCGTTTCAATTAATTTGTCTGGGTTTAAGATTGGATAGTCGGAAAATTCCTATATGTGAAAACAAAACTGACCATTTTCCTTTGGTTATGTAGGAAATTGAGGGTGTCAGTCATTTAAATGTTCAAATCCTTGAGGGTATTGCAAGTGTTGAGGTACGTGCATATTAACTTGTTGGATATTTGTGTCATCATACATAAAAAAGGAAAAAATGCTTAATGCTTTTTGGGTTTGTTAGAGATTACGTTCAAAGGTGACCATTCTTTAGATGACATGATTCCTCATTAGAGTTATGATCTCATGAGTTTTGACTAGCAGTAAGCTTTTCAGTTATTTCTCACCAACCTTATCCAGGACAAAATAAAAACAAGAATTGCTAGGACTGACCTAAAAAGTTCTAGTAGAATCTTCCAATTGATTACTGTTGCACAAAACACGGATTAAAACACACTCTTATTTCATACAATGCATAGTCTCGGCCAAAACTGCTTTTGTTGTGCCAGTGAATATCACTGTGGTTGCAGGAACTTTAAATTCTTTTCCTATTGAAACAGAATGGATATGATGTAAACCAATACTTTTCAATGCTCTATGATGAAATGATGGAAAATGATATAAGAAATTCAATTTCCATAGTCTGGTTCCACTTCTCCCAGTGATATGTAGTTTCCATCATCAGTAATATTATTTCATTGAAGTATACCCTACAGTAGTTTCAGCTGAATGCTAGCTTTTTAATTTTTTTAGGGTTTTAGGGTGCATGTGAATCTCCCGCCCCACACCCCCGGCGGTAATGCTAGCTTTTTAATTTTGACAGCAACATTCTGAACTTGATGACACCAAGGATGATAAAAAGGACCTTTATCGTCATTAGATCTAAGCAATCCCAAATCATTTTTTTTTTCATACAAACCAGTTATTATTTTTATTGGAAGGGTAGCCACATAAAAGTTGAACTTGGGAAAACAAAAGATACTAGATAAAGAGTTCTATCTATAGAAATATTAGAATGAATTTATATCTCTAGATTATTGAAAGTCCTTTTCTTTTTTTCTTATTAATTTGTATCAGCTAGTTTTAACTTCTTTTTTCATGTGTAGTTAACGAAGCAGACGACAATACAAGCTACAGCGGTGGCCTCCAATTTGGTTGAGGTCATACAAGGATCTGGGTTCAAGTTGCAGGCATTGAATTTGAGTTTTGAGGATGAAGAAGACACTTCTAATTAGACCTCTGTTAGTTTAAATCCCTCCCACCAAAAAAAAAAAAAAACTGGGGGATTCCCATTTGCTGATGGCAAACTAAAACCGGACAGAACTTTGTATACACTGATTAAGGGAATTTTCTGTCAGCTTATCGTCTCTATCTGATTTGTTTCTTCCATTCTCTTGTCAAACTAGCATTCTTTAAAGATCAAAATTTACTTGAAATGCGTGCTTTTCACTCACAAATTGTTATTAGCTTCGCAATAATCTGATTCATGAAAACGTGTGGAAGGCAATAATCTTCTGTTGCATTGAATTGTTGGATGTGCCAAAGAAAAAGGTTGGAGAGTGGTAAAGCTCAAAAGGTAGACGTTATGTCCCAAGGCTAAGTTTGGTTCTGTGGGCATTTCTTGAAAAAAAATGCCGCCACATGTCACACTGCCACTTACATATGGTGTTAATGTTCGCATGAAACCACTGTTTGGTTTAAATGTGTAACAATAAACATTAAAAAAAACAGAAATGCTTGGATTTATGTAAATTTTGATTTCTCTCAATGGCTGTAATGCTGATCTGGAGCATTGTAAGCTGAGGTTGAAGATAGTTTTACGGGGTATTACTTAAAATGCCCAACCAAGGTGAGGTAGAAGATAGCTTTATAGGGTATTACTTGAAATGCCCAATCAAACAACGAAAACAACACACGTTTAAAGTGATGCTTTTCAATAAAATATTTATCTGAGAAACACCCTATCAATAAATGTTCATTTCTACTTGGATGTTTTATATTATTAGGAGATCGATCTCCATCTTGTAGTTCATCATCACAACTTCCATTCTCTACCATACGCTAATTTGAATTTTTTGAATTGCAATGTGTTATTTTAGACCTTACCTGTCCTTGGAGCTTGGGCCCACTTCACTGCACCAAATGGCTCATCCCTCTTGCTGTCCACAAGAACTGGCCCAATTGGATTTCTGTGACTTGGTAAAATTTCGTATTTCATTATAGGGCTGACTTTTAAAATGAACTTAAGTTAAAACGGAAATTAAAATATCAAGTGGTTATATTTTCACTATGAAAATGAATTCTTCGTAATATCAGGCTTTCTATGGACCATGGAGAGGCGGGGAAGAGTTGTGGAGTCCATTAATCCGTCTTATCACGTATCACAAATTATGGGTCCAACAGAGTGGATCTTAGATGTATCTGATCTCAGCAAATGCAAATGCATTCTGAATATCTCGCCTCGTGATTGAGTGTTGAAACGTTTTAAACTTTTAATAGAATTTAATCTAAATTCAAAGTATGAGCAACATAAAAACACATTACACATGTAGCAGCTCCTATAGAGCATAAATATGGCGTATCCGTCTAGTTTATTTGAGAGTTGAGACAATTGGTGGGACACTGGGGTCGGCTTCTTTTGGAACTGATATATGAACAATTATGGGAACCCATTTGGTAGATGCTTTGGTTTGACGACAAACCATCTGGTTGAGGCTTTGATTTGATTGGCTATAATCATCAAATAAAAATAGATCACTTTCGATAAAGTAGTATCCTTCTTAATTTATACTCAAAGATGAATCGATTTTTCATTTGTAGTTGGTTAAATCAAATGTGTCCCAGGATGATGTAAGTGATTATTATAGAAAAAACAATGATTGATTATCAAAAAAAAGGTGCAATACATCAATCTTAACTATTTAGAGAGGATAAAAACACTTCCACGTGGGACAATACATCAGTCTTAACTGTGGAAATAGGTCCATTTCTTGTAGACCATGAAGGCATGATCAACCAACCTGACGAGATATGGAGATAACGGGTCAAGGAATGGAATTTAATGCCCCTTATTGTCAATTAGGTTTATCAGGTGTTACCCGATCAGATTCAATTATACCTGTTCTACTACGAAATCATGTCAAGCAACAAAATATTCAGTGAAAACCTATGTGCTCAGTATGCTATTAAAAGATGGAGGCAAGTTTTAGACATGAATTTCCCTTTAACAATTAGATTAAAATGTTATAACTGCTCAATTTGATAGAGCCAACAGGCATTTCTACTTTGGCATTTTATCAGTTCAAACCGGATCATATTGGTTCTGTTTAGCAATATGAACTAATTTTTATCTACCAATAATCCATACATGAACATTCACCATTTTTAAAGGTGTGGAAACGAGAACGATCTCGGACAACAATTTCTCTACAAAAAACATTTGAAATGGCCTTCATAGCAGAGTGACAATCTTCACATATCCTTAGATTCTTTACTATTCGAATGGGAGTCCCCTCCACACTATTAAGCAGCCCAAAAGCCACTGCTAACTTCTCACTGTGCCAAGACACTGCCTGCTCTTTATCCTCCTCACTTAAATCAAACAGAACTTGCTTTGTATTAGGAACATAGTATCCCTCGATACTTATTCTTTTCAGTACCTCACTCAGTTTCTTATGTATCTCCACAAGCTGAGGATGCAACCGGTCAGCAGCAAGGAATTCATGAATATAACCATCAACCTCAATCCAGCTACAACCAGGACTGGATTCAACCTCTCTCTCACCCATTGAGGTCCTCATTCCAACTACCTTGTCCCATTGACCCAGAGATGCATACAAATTCGATAGTAACACATAACCTCCACCATGACTGGGATCCAATTGGGCAATGTGATTTATGATTTTCTGCGCCAGGCCAACATTGCCGTGGATTCTACAGGCACTAAGCAAGGCCCTCCATACAACGACATCAGGTTCCATCCTCATGCTCTTGACAACTTCAAATGCCCTTTCCAATTGTCCAGCACGACCAAGAAGGTCTACTAGAGACCCATAGTGCTCAATTTTTTGCTCAATCCCCCATAAGTTTTGCATGTTATAGAAGATACAACAACCATCCTCTACCAGACCCGAATGGCTGCAACCATTTAATACCCCAAGGACAGTGATGCTATCTGGCTTAACCCCTTCTGCTAGCATTTGGGCGAAAACCTGTAGAGCATCCTTACCCAGACCATGCATCGACAACCCCGAAATCATGCTAGTCCATGTGAGAGCATCCTTTTTAGTTGTCTCGTAAAAAATTCGGCGGGCATAATCTATCCCCCCACATTTTGAATACATATCAATGAGAGCAGTGGAAATGTTTGAACTCTCTGGAACTCCATTCTTGTCTATATAAACATGAACCCACTTCCCTTGGTCTAAGGCCCCAAGATGAGCACAAGCCGATAACACACAGACAAGAACTGCTTCGTTGGGCTTCACCTTATCATGACATAACATACCATGGAAGTGTTGAAGTGCATCATTGTATCTTCCACTACCAACATAACCTGCAATTATAACAGCCCAAGAAACATCGTTCCGCTCCGGCATCTCATCAAACAACTCGCGAGCTTTAACCAACCCCCCGGACTTGGCGTACCCACAAACAAGACTAGTCCAAGTGACCACGTCTCGCTGAGGCATTTCATTGAAAAGCCTCTGTGCGTCCACCATCTTCGCATACATGGAATACATGCTTACTAGCGAATTCCCCACAAAGATATCGGATTCGTAACCATTCTTTATGACCATCCCATGAACGTTTTCACCGTAACCCACCAGCGTTGGAAGACGGGAACAGGCAGTAATCACAAAGGTGAAGGTGTATTTGTCAGGTTTCACTGCCAGTGCCAAGGACGGGTCAAGTGCAAGCATGCGGCAGAAGAGATAGAGTGATTCTCGGGAATTGGGTGTCTTGGAGTAGGCTTGGATCATGAGATTCCATACAAGAGTTGGTAGTGAAGAAGGATACTGATCAAATAAGATCCGGGCGTAACGGAGGTTGTTTGTGGAGGCATAAGAGCGAATGAGGGCTCCAAGAAAATAAATGGTGTGAGAGAAAGAGAGGACATGGGTGATGATTTGAGCATGTACCTGTTTGATCTGGGATAATCCTAAACCTTGCTTTAGCAGTTGAGAAAGTATTGTTGGATTTAGGAATAAGAATGAAGCCCTGTTGGTCGGTTTGGAGATTGCCGGAGAGGTAGTTGACAGAGTGTAATTGTTGAATGTCAGCCATTGAGCTTTGAATGGTAGGAATGGTTTGTATCGTGAGATCAAATGCATCTGGTGTTGCTAAGGTAAATCATAATCATGCTTACTCTCTCTCTCTCTCTCTCTCTCTCGCTAAGTTGGTTTCTGTTGGCCTGTTGCCTGTTGGTTGGGGGGTTGGAAACCTGGAATTCGATGATGCGTTTTAAATGGAAAGTATAGAGCCTGAATACTAAAAAACGAATGCAATGGATTTAAGGGGTCCAATTGATGGTGACGGTGGCTTGATCGGTAAGGTTTCTGACTTCTTTTTTTTTTTTGTTAATGGGTTTAGAACTAGAAGATCTCTAACTGCTTTTAGCAGGGATCCGTGGTTGAATCCCGCTATCAGCCTATCACCAGGGTTGGGGTTTGGAGGTGGTATGAGTATGTTGAAATTTAATTAATTATGATGGAAATGATGGGGATCAAATTAACTCTGGTACCATGTCGAGAAACCGTTCAATTTAAAAGCTTTATTTATTCTCTAACAAAGTGGCATCTTAGTCAATTGGGGAACATTCTCTAGGGCATTTAGGTGGTGGTGAGACTAGCAGAAAATCATCAGGACATTTGCAATCAAGTGATCAAATAAGATAGATATCCGGGGGCAAATAGCTAAAAAGATTGTCTTTTACGTTCAGGGCATTTCCTAGACACAATACATAAATATAACGTAGATAATGGTTAACTTAAAACAGTTCTTATATGTACTATGAGTCTACATGGGATTCGGATGCATGGCACCACCACCTGATGTGGCCATTGCGTGAACATGTATCTCCTCAAACTCCAGGTACGTAACTACACCATATGGAAAATAAACATAAACAGGCAGGGTTATTACTCGAAAGAGAAAGCATTCCAAAGTTTACAACAACAAACCAGTCACTACTAGATATGACAAAAATCCTATTCCAAGGCCGGCACAAACTAGGGAAGACCTTGCACTACTACTTATTGTTATAAATAGAACCTGCTTCTCCTAAACTTTAATTCATTCAAACTCACTCACAATCAAAAAGAATCAACAACTGAAGCCTCCCTCTCTTGAATATAGACCTCCTAATAAAGATAAAACTAGGACCATATCCTAGTTATATACTTAATAATTGCCTCCAATTCATGCTGATCAATCCAACTTTAAATGTGGTCTTACACCAGTACATCGAGTCTACGATAGACGACATAGACCACTGCACCAAGAGAAGAATATGCATAATTCCCATGCATCACTCAGACACTGTGTTCTCAGTCATCCCTTTGCTGTGTTCATTCTTGTCAAGCTGGCTGAAATTCCCCTTCTCCTTAAAGAGCTGAGAATGGTGGTGCCTACAATAGAGTCTGTGTTCATGGGCAACATAGTTAGACGGGCTGATCACACAGCCCCCATGTGTGCACTTGAAGCAAGCCTTGTGGTATGAGCTGCCATCCACTGCAACCTGAAAGAAGATAAGAATAAAATAATTATGCCTCTTAAGTAGAAAAAAAAATCCATTTGATCAGACAACTAAAATGCAGTGTCAAGTGGACATGAGACACCATTGTTATCTAGATTCTTGGAATATATGAAAGGAAATGTTTCACCACACATGACAAACTTTCACTTACCACTGAAAATGATTTCTTATTTTCATTTTGAGTTTGTTATGATATAATTATTCTTCAAAATATAGATGGCTGCTCCTTATCTATTGAAGTGAAAAAAAAAAATCTCAGATAACTGACTTGGTAAAAAACCTTACTGCAAAGGACCACCACATACACAGACAAGGAATTCTGACTACATTTGGATCAAAGCATACAGTTATATATAGTTGATGTTTTCCAAAATTGGACTATGGACATGGTGAAATATAAATACTCGATTCAATATTCTAAGCATGTGCCCACCATCAAGAAAAAGTAATTAATCTAAACTGAACATGATTACAATACCAGAATTTCTCATGTGTAAAGGATACTCAAGACTAGACCTTTACTATGAACATTTTATATATAGCACGAGTGTCACAAACTCATTACTACAAATAATTTGAGTCAAGACGGCAGCTATATCAAGTATTATTCTAGGCACCTCTATCAATGAAGTATACTTCCATAGAACTGGCAATACCTTTAGTAATTTGATACTATCACTTTCTAGTGCAAAGGGGCAATTACTTGGTGTAATGGTAAAATCTCAGGCTGGCAAGTGTGAGAGCCTGTAGGGTGCACACTAGAACCATCTTTTTTATTTATTTGGTAGGGGGAAGGGGAGGGGACAGAGCAGGGTGCATGTGAGGTCCACTGACCTTACCATGGAGAGCCTGTAGTAATGCAGGCTTGAACCCATTTAAGGTCAGCTGACCTTACCTATACTAGAACCATTTTAGTGTACGTTTCCTCATTATCACCTATTGGGGCTTAATTACCAAGGAAAGAGACAAAAGAGTATTATCAAAAACAGAATAATTGTAATGGTTCTAGGCTTCTAACCCAAACAATCAAATACAAAAGGGTAAATTACAGATAGGTACCCTGTACTTTGGGGGTAGTGACAGATAGGTATTCCGTCAGTTAAACATTACATAATGTCTAAAGTACCCTTCTCGTGTATTTTTAAGATCATTCTACAGAGTAAAATCGTCACCAGAGAATACCGTCGTTGGAGAATTTGAATATGTTATTTGCTATCCATGTGAGAACGACATCATGGGAAGACGTTCGGCTACCTGAGAATGATCTCAGAAATACACAAGGGTATTTTTGGCACTATGTAATGTTTAACTGACGGAATACTATGGATGGACCTAAGTGTATTTTTGAAAGTTCAGGGTACCTATCTGTCACTACCCCAAAGTACAGGATACCTATCTGCAATTTACCCAATACAAAAAGTGCAAACATAGAGAAGTATACCTATCCTTCTTCACTACCAAAAAGTGCAATTTACCCAATTTACCCAATGCAAGCAGATAATAGTTTGCATGCTCGTAAGTTCACAACACATTCATCCTGGATGTTCTAACCAAAATAGGTAAGTAGATAAGGGTATACCTTCTCAATTGGGTAGACTGTTTTCTTGCAAGCAACACATTTGTCTTGAGTTCCAGCAAACAAAGTTGAAACTTTATTGTTGGCATTACCCTGTTCATTAACTCATAACAAAATAAACTTAGTAAACTCTAATATTAAATTAAAATTTGTATGTAACAGGAAAAAGTATTTCCAATCTTGAAAGCATACCTGATCAACCGATTTATCTGTTCTTGAAACTTTTGGAGCACCTAGAAAATAATTGAAAAATTAGGGAAAAGGTTCAGATTAGTTTCAAATGAATATTAACAGGAAAAATGACTGGAAGTAATTGACTGCCTGCTAGTCACCTTCAAAGCTTTTATCCAAACTGCCCGTCATTTTAAAGAGTTGGTCAAAATGAGGCTTACAATACAAAACGCCCTCAAAAGAGGAATAGTTACTAAGCTGTTAAAATTAACACCATTAACCATTAGGGGTAGTGAGAAACGACAGATCAAAATTATACATTACAGATGAAGAAATAAATATAAGATGAAGTGCAATATCTGTTAATCAACTATCCAATGATGATGATGTGTATAATATCTTAATTCTGTGCAGTGTCGGATGAGGAATTTGGGCATCACCAATAGTTCACACAACACTTTGGTCACTAAAATCTTACATGGGTCTCTCAGAAACGGAAAGAGAAAGATATGATGCAACATTAATGCAATAACACCCATGTCCTATGATGTATAAGCTGCAGATGTTTCCAGAAAAAGAAAGCTAGATTCATTGCAAGTTACAAGTCTCTCTTGATCACCAAGTCGTGCAAAAAAAACTCTATCATAATAGGAAATTATACATTCAAGTTTAACTAAATAACCAACAGAAGTTAGATTTTAGGTTCACTAGAGAAATATAAAATTACATTAGTGCAGAGACTTTTTACTGATGAGGCAATGGTTATGCCATCAGATGAAATTTCACTCCACTAACTCAAAGAATCCTCATAATTTCTCTTAATGTTTTAAGAAGTAAAGGATCAAGGCAGTAGCAGAGATATGATATTTAATATCATAAACTCAAATTACTACATAACTATCAACATGTGGCTCAGAAATCATGAAATAGTTAACCATGCTTCAAAAGAAAATAATATGTTATGGTGGATCTACTAAAATCATGCAATGGCCTTCCTACTCTTGTTTAATTCCTGTGTTATTCTTGTTTTTCATATCTTCGGTTCTGATTCATGATGTTGGCAAGTCTTTTTAAGTTACATTCCAACAGCAAACCCAGATGGTTGATATGGCTAAAAAGTAGATGAAGTTGGATAATTTCAGAGACACTGCATCATTGATAATCTGTCATGCCAAAATGCAATGACAATATGAAAACTTGAAAAGTAAAAGCAGAACAACAAAGATATTCTTCAAAAATCTTCCATGATAAAAAAAAACAGAACTGCAACTATTTTTTATTCCTCCAAGATACTCTTCTTCAAAAATTTCCTATGATATCCTATGACTTCGATGCTGCTTTGAATTTCAGAGTGCACAAAATGGCTGCTTTTATTCTTTCAATTATTAGTTTCGCAGCTGTGCTGGATATTCAGACTTCATACTATGTTTAATGTATATCTCCAAGTTCAAAGAACAGAGAACATCCAGTCAGATAGGCCTCCACTTAGGAAGCCCGAAGCTTCAAATGTTTGCTTCCTGCTCAGTCAGATAGGCCAAGGTTCAGCATTCTAAAATTTACAGTGGTAATTAATTAAAATTTGCCTCTTTCAGGACATCTAATTGGGTCTTCCTGTCATGTCACCAAGGCAACCATCTTAGAATGACATGCTTGTAAGTGTTTCTTGACCAAGTTCAGGTTTGTTTCTTCTACTCGTGACACCAAAATGAACTGACATAAGATTTGTTAGGAAACACCAAGCAAGCATGTCGCAGAGGTTCCATAGTAGGATCATCTGCACGTTATGATATCTGAGTCACATAAAGATTTAATTTTGTGTTTATCTCACATATCTTAATTTAGTAGCTACAGCAAGCTAAACATGCTGGTGCTTTGACAAGACAAAACACCATATGTTTAAGAAGATTGTGCTGAAAGTGTTATCTGCCATTGAAACAGGACCACAGAAGTTACAGAATGCTATTGATGATTTTAATTGATAAGCGAATAAAGCCAATAATCAAGGATCATGTCAAGCATATCTCTACCAAAACCATGTGAGTTACAGAGCATCAAGTTTCCTATTTGGCGTAAGAGAACAGTCCTGAAAGCACTGAATTTGAAATCGATCTGTGTAAGGAGACAATCCAAAAGATAACATAGTAAGAGAAGTCGACCTTTGTCAAAAGCAAGAGCGAGCATGTAAATCAGAGTCCACCATACAGAAATCTAAGGTTTAAAATCTTTGCAGGGGAAGACAAGGAAAGATCATAAGCGACATCATCAGTAAAGAAAAATAAAATTTTCAAGAAAAAGAGGAAAAAAGAACAAATTTAGAAATTAGAATCGAGGAGTCGTCAACATAAAAAAGAAAAAAAAAAGTGGAAAGTCCAGAAACAAACAAAACAAATAGCCATATTAGGAGAAACAAGCAGATGGCATAAACATCTTCGTGACCGTTATTACCAAAGAAGATATCCCAAATCAAACAACAAAGGAAACATAAGAACATGAAGAAGACTGAAGGGGACTGCTGTAGAATTTAGACAAACATAGGAAAAGCAACAGTGATGGTGGAACAGGAAGTCGGTACATATATATGGTAGATGAACTACACAAGAAGGATAATAACAAAATTAAATAAATGAAAAAAGAGAAAAATTAAACACCTTGAGGGTACCCTTGCAGTGGTGGCATCGGAAACAAGCCTTGTGATAGACCTTGTTATCAGCAGTGAGCTGATCCACCAAGTAAACCGTCTTCTGACAAGCCTTACATTTCTGAGTTGTTCCTGCAAATGTCGCCATTTCAGATCTCTCTCTCCCTCTTTTCACCGCCTTTAATATCGATCAGGAAGAAAGGCCCAGATAGATTCTGAATCAGATTTTCAGAGATAATAGAGGAAAAGAGAAACCAAAATGAAGGTAGAAGATGAGGAGGTCTCCTATCAGGCTATCAATCTCTGTCTTCGTCACAATTCCATCTCGGACACTAGAGGAGAAATAACGGCACTAAGCAGCAATATATTTTGAGTTGACTGTTGTTTTTAACTAATTGAACTGCTGCTTAATTTACTGTAAACTGTAAACATAAACATTACATAAAACAAGACGGCGTGAGCCGTAAGAGAAGTTACAGTTACAGACAATCAAAATCTGTACCTACGTACGTACCAAGCGTGGGTGGTATCCGTATTTTTAGCAGGTAGATTTGAACGACCAATCGGAATCCTGATTCCTGACCTGAGTAGTAGAATCGGTGGATATTGGACCAATCATCCATGTTTTCGAGTCCGCGTTCTGTGCACTGGACGAGTGCACCCATCAATGAAAGGCGAACACGTCATCTCATCAGTCTTAACCGCGAATTAACGGAGACTTTCTCCGTTATCAATGGTTGGGCTGGTTGAACCGGCCACAAAACACGATTTGGCTTTTTCTCTCATGTTAGAACTCGACTCAAACCCCCTCTGTCATCCAAACCTAGCCCTGTTATCAGATCATCAGCAATCAATACCATCCGATGCCCTCGGCAAAGGATCAATCGGTGATCAACCGTAAGCTGCTTCTCTTCCTCCTCCTTCTTCCCTGTAAACTCAATGAAGAAGAGTGACTTATGATGCAACATATGAAGTTATAGACGAGCAGCTCCACTGGCATCCCTGCAATTGGTTTCTCCACCACGAAGTCCACATGATTTAAATCGCTCTGTCCCATTTCAATGGTGATTCTCTGTGCCCGCCAAAGGGCCAACGGTTATGGATAAGCCATTGCTGAACCCACACCGTGCTCAGGAATAGAGATAGGAAGTTGTCAACGAAAACGTTTTCTTGGGTTCACGGGTGGATTTCCTGGTTGCCACTGTTGATCCGGTGTTCCGAAGTAAGCACCAAAGTGTCATGGGGGTAGTTCTACAGCGAAAGAAACCCGTGCGGCGTCCTGGCCAAGGCAGGCCAGGACAAGCCTTTATGCGCTTAGAGGCTAGGAGTTGCCCTATGGGATGGCTCCACCAAAGTCAGTAGCACTGGATCATGACCTCAAGTCCAATGGCCGGGGCACTCTCCTGGCTCAGACCGGTCCATGGGAGGCGCCACTTACGTGCTAAAGG